CATACTATAAAAGTTTTTGATATAGGTACTTAAAGGGAGCGGCGTGATTGTATAAGATAGATCGATATAACCAATTTCGCTTTATTTGAGCATATTTAAAGAGAAAGTATACCAATTTTTAACTTTCTAGCTTGATCCGTCGCAAAGAAATTCAGACTTAAAGTACATTCTAATTAAAATAACTCAAAAACTTAAAGGACTAGGTATCAACATGTCTTATCAAAGTCGACGTATTTTTATGAGTAGAATCAGAATATGTAATAAAAACTATATCATGTCATTTAAAATAAGGTATGATTATGTCAGCACTTCGTTATGGGACAGCCTGTATGTATAAAAATATTTTTCGTTTATAGTGTGGTTAATTTGCTACAATTTTTCTCTAAAGTAGAACTTTCTAACTCGGCTCCTATAACTATGACTACATAAACATATATCTGTGACTATGACTATATACAGGTGTCCTACGAAAACGGAAAAGTACATAAATGACAAATGAGCCGAGTTACAACATTTTTCTTTATATAAAAGTTGTAGGAAATTAAACACGCTATAAATTATTACTAATTAATAATATTAATATTTTTATTAATGCAATTTTAGTGGGTTAGTTATCATATTTTGAGAACAGCCCTAATAATCTAGAATTATATTACTGCTAAAACGCTATCAAAATACACTCAGTAAAGGCTTTTGGAATTAATTTTAGTAAAATATGCAATCCTCCTATTTTCGCATTTTCTAAGTGTCAAAAAGGGTGCTAATTAAAAAATTCCTGGAAGCCCTGTTTATTGAGATTAAGAAATGAAACTTATTTTAAATTGAAGCTTAAAGCTTTCTCTTTAAAATGATGTATAATAATTGATGGGTTGGATTGGAAAAATATTGAGAAAAAAAATTTACATTGATACTTAAAAATTGTGAATGAGGAGACTGGAGACTAGAATCCGCGAACATAAAACTAAAACAAATTCTAACATCTTTAAACACCATATAGAAACTAGTCATAATATAGATTATGGAGGAGTTGAACTTTTACATTCATGCAATAAAAGTTCAAAGTTAGATTTTCTTGAAATTTTAGAAATTACTAAACACAAAAACAATAATAAATATCATATATATATCTTTTCATATTTGAATAATTTCAACTTAAACATTTTTTGTGTTTTATTATGTTCAATATTTTCTCGGTCTGCTAAGTTTATTCTACAGGGTCATCCACGACGACCGTCCATTAGAACTTTACAGGGTTCTGGCCAATACAAAAATTTGAAAATTCAGATTTAAGTATTATTAATTGCGTTCTCTTCGACTAAAATATTTTCAAATTTCTAGCACTTCCGGTTATACCGGAAGTCGCCACCTACTTTATTTTTTTAAATGGAACACCCTGTATATTTTTACATATTTGGATTTGTCTGTTTTGAAGGTTTATAAATAACTTTACTTTTTGCAATTTGATTCGGCCGTTCTCGAGTTATTCGAATTTTTCTAGAAAAATCTGCTCCAGCGGACATTTGTTCAAAAAATCATAGAACACTCAATTTTTGAGATATCAATTTAGGATTCAGAACATGCTTAAACAACATGATGGAGTATGTTTTGGTGCCGAGAACGGCTGTCTAGAACGTTTGGTCACTTTACTATGGCACGTTAACTTTTCGAAATTTGGAAGTACCATAACTTCATTTTTTTAAATGGCACCCCCCATATTTTATTACTTAGTCGTCTTCGGTGTCTCATTTTACATCTTTTATATCCCATATGTCCTATACCTAACATTTATAGTTTGGGAGATAATTAGGGTTTTTTGAAAAATGCACACATATCATATCGATATTTAACCTAGTGTGCCATGAATACCTAGTGTGACCTAGTGTATAACCATATGAACTGGCCTTTTGAAAATTTGCAGACTTCTGTGTTTGATGCCAGCTTTTTACTAAAATATTTTCAGGTTCCGGGTGCTTGCGGTTACACCGGAAGAGGTGACAATTTTCATATTTCAAATGGAACACCCTGTATTTCATTACATTTTTGAAATTTTTGTTCAATTTTAGGCCACTTGTATGTTGCAGCCGACACGTACGCGCAATTATTTGGTTGCACTCTCCATAAATTATTATCAAATTCAAATAATCCTCATTACTAAATTCCAAACGTGGCATTTCTTGAGAACAGATCACTACAAAAAGTAACCTAGTCATCACACCAACAGAAATAAACCATAGCTTTAGCAAATGTCAAACTGTTTACTCTTTCCTTACTGATCCTCTGATAATACATAACCACAACAACATTCCCAACACAAAATTTTTTTTCCGGCAGTCAAAGTAGATGATTTATAAATTATAAAAAGTAACGTTGTAGTTGACATTTTTGATTGAAAAATGTTATAAAACTCAGGGTGTTCCGTTTAAAATATGAAAATTGTCACCTCTTCCGGTGTAACCACAAGTACCCGGAACCTGAAAATACTTTAATATCGATATTTGTGTGCATTTTTCAATAAACCCTAATTATTTCCCAAACTATAAATGTTAGGTATAGGACATATCGGATATAAAAGATGTAAAATGAGACACCGAAGACGACTAAATAATAAAATATGGGGGTGCCATTTAAAGAAATGAAGTTATGGTACTTCCAAGTTTCGAAAAGGTAACGTGCCATAGTAAAGTGACCAAACGTTCTAGACAGCCATACTCGGCACCAAAACATACTCCATCATGTTGCTTAAGCATGTTCTGAATCCTAAATTGATATTTGTAAAATCGAGTGTTCTCTGATTTTTTGAACAAATGTCTGCTGGAGCAGATTTTTCTAGAAAAATTTGAATAACTCCGAGTCAAATTGAAAAAAGTAAAGTCATTCATAAATCTTGAAAACAGACAAATCCAAATATGTAAAAATATACAGGGTGTTCCATTTAAAAAAATTTGTAGGTGGCGACTTCCGGTATAACCAGAAGTGTTAGATATTTGAAAATATTTTAGTCGAAGAGAACGCAATTGATAATACTTAAATCTGAATTTTCAAATTTGTATTTTGGCCAGAACCCTGTAAAGTTCTAATGGACGGTCGTCGTGGATGACCCTGTATATTTGATTGATTGGTTTCTAACTTGTTTTTACATTAATTTTTAGATCTCTTTGTAATATTGTCATAACGCACCACGTTTTTATTACTTCGTCCATTTTAAATTTTAATAACGATAAATTTTATATTCAGAATTTCTTTCAAAATTTAAATTTTCAATATTTCAAACCTTGTTTAATGTTGCAATCTGTGGGCTTCACTTTCTGACAGTGAGTATTTCGTTATATTTTTATATATTTTCATATTTTTACATATTTTTTATATCTATTACATATTTTAATAATAGTTACGCTCTCTGTATAGTTTTCAGCTGATGGTGGAGTGAAAACTTCGAAACCGGTACTGATATAATAGTTATTTATATTACAAGTGGGCTAGAAACATAATTACAGTACGAGTGTGGAGAATTGCACGACGTACTGTAATTATGCTCTAGCCCACGTGTGATATACAGCATTTTATCTACGACTGCTAAAAATTACTAAAAAATCAATTTCTTTAAAAAAGTCTATTGACATTTATAAAAATATTTTGAAATGATTGTTGTCAATTTTGAATTGTCAGTTTCAACATGTTTACTCATCTGGAATAAGTGTTTTGAAATGTAAAAACATAACAATTAATGTTTATAATAAATAGTATTGTTTCTCTGTAAGTAGATAGCACTTTTTCTTTTGTATTGTTGCTCGTTTCAATAAATTAAGTCTGTTCTGATTAGGTTAAAAATGCGTTACGTAATGAAACCAGTGCGGTAATGAACTTCATTACGTAACTCAAATCACCTCAAATGAGTGCGGTAATGATGACTTATCCAAGCAGTCGTAGATAAATTAAATTTTATGCAAGTGTAAAGGTCACATCTGTGTTTTATTTCTATATTCAAAATTTCATTTACTTGCAACATGGATAATTTACATAAGGTAGTAAGATGTTAGATATCTTGATACTAATGGAAAATAATTCTAAATCGAGATCAACAATACCAGAAAATCGTTTGTGAGGAATTGGGTGATGAAATAATAACCACTTTTTACAACTCAAAAGAAAAAATAATAATTTTGGCGGATGCGCCGGTAACAAATCTAAAAAAAAAATGTAAAAAAATTCAAAAATTTTTGGGTTAGGTGGATTTATTGAATCTAAATTGAGGCTGAGGATGTCATAAATTGTAAGAAATTAGGGTTTTCCTCGAAAAATGAATTAACGACACCAAACAATCGATATCATAAAGGAAAACAAAAACGTTGGCGGGCGTCGAAAATACACACATACACACACACACATCCAGTTGGATTAGAAAAGTGGAGGGGAAGGGCGTCGCGGCGGCGACGTCAGAGCCTCTTTCGGTGAACATCGGTATTAAACGCAACCGTTCGGCTTCCGCAATGACGTAATCGGCGAGCTTTCGCCAGTTGGTGTTCCGCGACAGTTTTATTTCGTCGCCACACGATGTTGTGACGACGAAAATATCTTATAAAATAATGTTTATTGGGATCTACTTAAAAATAGAAACAACGATTGAATTAAAAAAATTTGATTGATTCAAAAATAAATTGTTGTCCAAATGTTGTTATCGCGAGTTATTGTTAATAATTTTTTATTAAAGGTGGCGATTTGGTCGGAAAACGTCGGTTGTGAAGGTCCCGGAAAATCTATACCTAACCTATAAAATAATAATTTTTAAGGAAAGGAAAGAAAGTTTCCGCCCCTAAATTTTAACCGAAAATATAATTAATAAAAAATACTTAATAAATAAGAAAAGAAAAAAATAATTAATAATAATCGTGAAGTAGTGCGCGTATTAAAATTTTTTGTGCAAGAAAATTGTTTGAAAAAAATTCATTTCCGTTTGTATGTTGTAATTTTTAAGGATTAGATAAAAATTTGTTTTGAACAAAATAGAAAAGAAACGAAAAAAAAAATAAACGACGAGTAAAATAAATTGCTTGCCTTAAAACCAACATCTAACGACATAAAAATTAAACGAATCGTTTTTTGAAAATTAAAATTAAATAACTTCTAAATAGTGCCTGATATAGAGAAAAATTAAGAGAAATTTTAAGGGAAAAAACTTGAAAAACATAGCAATAGTCGAGTCAATAGTAGAGAGAATAAACTCGAAGAAAAATCCTCGTAATATAATAACAATTATAATTGAAGAATCGATAGTGTAGCGTTATTTTTGTTCAAAAAAGTAGTCAGAGTCAGCTCGTTTCCCTTTCGCCTGCAATTTTTCAAGTAGAAAACAGAAAAAATTTAGAATAATGTCCCAGCTAGTACTTTGTAATGATAACAACAATAACACCGACAACACTAGTGATGATTCTAACCAGCCGCCAACTATTTACCGGTAATGCTTTATATCATCTTGTATTATTCAACATTTATTTAATTTTTATTTCAATTAATTTAACTTGTAGAATCAGTAGATTTTTAGATGTCGGCTTCTTTTTATGTAGATTTTTATTTTAGTTCAATAAAATTAAATTGGTAGAATTTTGAAATATTTAATTTTTATTTTAGTATTTCTTTTTTTAGTAACATTTCGTTTTTAAACTAATCTTGTGACGTCAAATAGTTTCCAAGAGGAAATCGATAGATGGTGTTAATTCTGGTGGATATGTTACCTGCTAAGTAGTTTATAATGCCATTTTTCAACTAATTTTTGTATTTTAATGATACAGTAAAACCTCGATGTATCGAATTAATGATTATAACACTAATTTTTGTCTAATTTAACTATCTTTGCACCTCTTACCAGTATCATAATGGGAATATATCTGAGACTTGATAAACATAAACTAGCCCGATACTAGTTTTCTATCCACTATTTCCATTCTTAATTTGCTATTTATCATATTCTACCGTTAAGAATTAATTATTCTCTGATACGATGAAAAACACTTGACTTCTAGTTTGTTTTTTCTAGGACAATAGGTGAATACTTGGAGGACAATCTAAAAATATCACATTTTTTGAATCATATTATACAAACTGATTATTTTTCATGTTTGTTAGTTTCAATTTTTTTTGCCAATTTAGTCAAAAATTCGTCTGCCATCTAATTATCAAATACCTCTTAATTCTGCTGCCGAGAATACATTTTTCTTCCTTTCTTATTTTTTGGTATGTGTCAAAATTGTTTTGCAACGTAGTTCCAAGAAATACAAAGACATTATTTGTGAAAGAAAATCTCCATGCGATGTATCATCTTCTTATCTTTCGGTGCATTAACCTGATAGTTTTGTCTGATAACAGCCCAAATCATCATCCATATCGAATTAATTTCTACTTTACAGATTGGCGAAATGGAAATCTTTTAATTGAGTCTAAGTTCATTGATTGTTAACATTTCCTAGCTTTCTGATTTGATCTAATTTCTTAGTTTTTAAAACTAATCCTCTCGTCAAGAGGAAAGAATCGTTCTATCAGACAAAGGGAATGATAACATTAAGAAGATGAAATCTACAGCAATTTGAGCAGAACAACAGAGAATTTGTTTGCACAGACCAATAATTTATGGATTATCTAAAATCCATAAACCAGATACTTTTTGCTTTGTTTTGGAATTGATAGCATATTACGAAAAGACTGTTTTTTGTAGTAGTAAAATGAAGTTTTAAAACTAGAACTAACACTAGACCTAGAACTAGAATCATTCGGGTTTAATCGCACATCTCTTAAGATGGCTAAACCCGAATGATTCTAGTTATAGGTCTAGTGTTAGTTCTAGTTTTAGTTCAATAAAAATATGCAACATAATGATATCTAGTGCTAATTAGCGCTACCTAGCACAGTCACTAGAACTAACACTAGACCTAGAACCTTAAAGATTTATTGAACCCCGATTGATAATATTCTAAAACTCTCTATTCATATGTTAACTTTATTTATTCTATCTTAAATGAGGACTCACATGTTTACGCAATTTATACCGATTACTCTAAAGCCTTCGACAAGATTGACCATGGAATTCTTATACATAAGCTGACCTCCTTTAACATTCCTTCTGGCATTCTACGCTGGATAATGTCATATCTATCGGACACAAACCCATCTCATCTGGTGTGTCTCAGGGAAGTCACCTTACATTATTTCTAATTTACATAAACGACATTTTTTCTTGCTTCAAATTTTCCAAATTCATGCTCTATGCGGATGATAATAAAATATTTACCAGAGTCAGCTGTAGTCATGACTGCCTGAGGCTTCAGGAGGACCTCGATCGTCTACATGATTACTGTCGCGTTAACAAACTTTATGATTTGAATTATGGCCAATTATAACCATACTATGACAAATGCCAAAAAAATAACGTTTACATGGAAACGCTATCCTATTAATTTTAATTACAACTTTAATGGTAGACCTATTATCTCTACTGACAGAGTGAAGGATCTTGGCATTATACTTGATGCCAAATTGAGATATCACCTTCACATCGAATTCATGGTGGCGAAAGCCCTGCGTAATTTAGGGTTTGTTATCAGAATAAGTAGATATTTTACCAATTTTACAAGCATAAAATCGTTTTATATGGTATTTGTTAATAGCGTATTATCCTATGGTTCCATAGTGTGGAATCTCTGCAGCAACGTCGAATTGTTTCTGACTTGATCTTCCTTTTCAGTCTTGTTAATGGCATGCTGGATGCCCCCGATCTTCTGTCTGAATTAAGCTTCAATGTACCACAACGGCTTACACGTTACAACGACACATTTCGTCTTAACATAGCTAACGCCAACCTTTATCAAAACTCGCCATTAGTTCGAATTCTGAATTCCTATGACCAGGGCTTCAACTCTCTTTGACGTTTCTTTACGCTCTTTCAAAGAATGTGTACTATCTAACGTATAGCGGATGTTTTGTTGATCGGTTTATTGTTGTAATGTTAAGCATGTTAGTTTATGCTGCATTTTTTTTAATGTTTATTTTCGTTATTATGAGGATGCTTTGTTGGGGATATTCTTCTTATATGCATTCCGAACGTGTAATAAATAAATAAATATAGGTGGCGCATGAAATTTAATTGCCAGCTATAGACCCATCTCTATTCTGTCGATAGTCTCAAAAGTATTTGAACGCCTTATCTATGATTTGCTTATGTTTAATGTCAAATCATCCTTAATTCCTGAACTACATGGCTTTTTTCGTGGTAGGTCAGTAGAATCAAACTTAATTTCATTTTCTAATTTTTTTTCAAATATCCTTCATAACAATAGCCAAGTTGATGCTATCTATACTGACTACAGCAAAGCCTTTGACAGGATTGACCATGAGATTATTTAAAAAAAAACTTTCTGACTACGACATCCCTGATGGCCTAATTGACTGGATTTCATCTCACATCTCAGGTAGATCACAAGCCCTTATTATTAACAATTATCGCTCAACATTCATAGACATTACTTCCGGTGTGGCTCACGGCAGCCATCTGGGGCGTTGTTATTTCTGCTCTACATCAATGATATCCATGTCTGCTTTCACTACTTACAATTTTTTTTATATGCCAATGACAGCAAAATATTTGTCCCGACTTGTGTGAAGTTGCAGGATGACTTAGACATATTACAGGCATATTTTATAAATAATAATCACATTTACACGTAAACGCTATCTTATTGCTTTTGATTATTCCCTCGGCTTAACACTCTCAAACAATCTGAGTACGTTCGAAATCTTGGCGTTCTCTTTGACTTGAAACTTACATTTTCTGCTCATATTGATTAGTACATGTCGTCCTTTCACTAATCTATCCTGTTTCTATTCACTCTATTTTGCCCATGTATCATCTGTTCTTAACTATGCATCTACTGTTTGGAACACCCAGTATCACATCTACATTGATCGCCTAAAGCAAATCCTTTTTTTTACCATATTGCGACTATGCTCAGTTTTCGGCATCTCGAAGCTCTCCTCCAGGCGTAATATAAATGATTTAATTTTTCTTCATAAAATGAATAATGGCATTGTTGACTGCTCTATGATACCAAATGAGTTTACAATTTACAGTTGCTGTTCGACCATCTTGCGACTTGTCTCTATTTTCTGTATCACGCACTAACACCAATGCGTTTTCAAACTCCGCGTTTCCTCATCTTATGTTCACTTGTAAGCGCTATTGTTTTGGTTTGGATATGTTCACTGCCTCCTTGGTTTCCTTTAAAAAAATGGTGCATATGCTACTTTGGCAGTGTGTATTGCGTATGCCGTGTAGTTAGTTGCTTATAGGTATTTCTCTCTAACTTGTAAGTTAATTTTTTGTTTTAGCAATTATTTAATTTTGTTAGGAATTTCTTGTTTATGTTCTTATTGTGATTCATTAGTGGATGCTTCGCTTGACTTGTCCCGTTTGCATCCTAAATATAATAAATAAACAAATTTCACCGTGTAGTGCAATGCTCTTACCGAACCTTAGTGTCTTGCTCGGTGAAAAATTATTTAGATCCTTTGGGGAGATACCCAAAAATCGAGAATCTGCTACGATTAACAGCAGGGCAGTGCCATAAAACATGCTCAACCGTCTCCTCGTCCTCCGCACATAGTCAGCATTCAACATCATCGGCTACTCCAACAAGGTCTTTAATCGGCAGTGCCTAGTAAAGACACCCATTAGAACTTTAATGCTGCCAGTCCTAAAATATTCCCGGGTTTGGCAATGGCTATGTTAATAAACAACTTCCAAGAGAACTGTAGTAGGCGAAGTCTCTCTTCGGCCTAGTTCAATCCTATGTTTGGCCATCGCCAATGATATACCAATTGCTGGGTCTGGCCTCACAAACACTTTAGCGCTGTCCTCTCGTGCTAGCTCATCTGCTGCTTCGTTGCCAGTAATCCCATAGTGAGCTGGAACCCAGATCAGAGAAACTCTGTTATCACAACTCAGTGTATTTAAAGTTCTTTTGCACTCTTTAACCAGAGCCGACACCGTTTTCACGACCTGCAGCGCCTGTGAGCGATTTAACTATCTAAGAAAAATCGTACTGTTATGTTCTTCACCCCTCTCTCAAGAAGGATTTTAGCACCCATGTCAATAGCCAAATACTTCCGCCTGGAATACAGTGCAGGCTGTAAGCTTGCTTAATCCGAAGTGTCTGGCAGTATTCTCCCGAATCGACCCCTTCCGACATTTTTTTATCTATCTGTAAAGATGCAAATATCTGCCTGAACTAGAGAATTTTCCTTTTCGATCCAGAACTGCCGTTCAGGCAGTATAATCAGGGTATCGGTATATAACCCGATTTTAGGATGAACTAGTTTCGCCTAGGCCAGAGCAGTTCTCCCTACACGCGATAGGACAAATCAGTATAGGCTAGGCCAAACTCGTTCATCCTGTTACCGATAGGATAA